TAAACCTCCCGTTTTTTTGGCCGACACATAAAATACCAAATTCTCCATCTAATTCCTTTACCGGACTTCCTCTGCCACCAATACCCATTCATAGGAGTTTCAATCTCCTTACACAATTCCTTAGGTAGAAGAAAAACATTCATCGCGTAAGTAGGCATAGCTTGGATGACAGACTTAAGCAAAACTTCCCTCCCAGCCTTTGACAAAAAACGATTATTCCAATTTTGAATTCGAGTAATCATTTTTTGCCGGAGATAAGCCAAAATTACTTTTTTATTCCTACCAACGATAGCTGGTAATCCTAAATACCGTTCGTTCATCACTACCAGCCAAAAGCTCCTTCAACCCTTCTCTACAATCAACTGGTACATTAATGCTGAAAAATAGTTTTGATTTACTCAAATTAATTACATGCCCTGAAGCAAGAGCGTAAACGTTCAACGCCTCCTTCACAACTGATGCATCCCCATGAGTAGCCTTAAAAAATAGCAAGATGTCATCTGCAAAAAAAAAAGATGAGAAATCCTTGGAGCCCCATGGGCCAACGCCACCATGTGCAAAAGTCCCACCTTTTCGTAATCTTTTAACAAGGCACTCAAACCTTCTGCAACCAAAATAAATTAATAAGGTGATAAAGGATCCCATGTCTCAAACCACGCGTAGGGATAAAAGGTCCCAAGTCCGTGTCGTCAAAGGGGATAGAATAAGACACCGAAGAAACACACTCCATCACTAAATTCACCCACCATGTATCAAACCCCAGGTGAATCAACATTCCTTCCAAAAAAGGTCATTCAACTCTATCATAAGCCTTACTCATATCCAATTTAAGGTTGACATAACCAGTATTACCCTGAGTTTTTCTTTTCAAAAAATGCTGAGTTTCAAAGGCAATCATAATATTATCAATCATGGATCTACCCGAAATAAAAGCACTCCGTTGCTCAGAAATACACAAATTAAGAAGGGAAAGTTCCCGAAATAGGACTAAAGCAGTTTGAAAATTCCCAAAATAGGACTAATTACTGCCATGTTTAGAAAATACTGCCATGTTTGAAGTCTAGTACTGCCAAAACATGACAGTAATTAGTCCTATTTTGGGAATAAAATTATGGCAGTCATATTTTGGAATTTTAAAACTGTTTTAGTCCTATTTCGGGTAATATTCTCAATTAAGAACGGCTTTCAGTCTATTGGCTAGCACCTTCGAGAAAATCTTATAAATAACATTGCAAAGAGCTATGGGCCTCCAATCACCAATAACCTCCGGATTATCCTTCATTGGAATTAGAACAATATTAGTGTGATTAATTTTTATCTAGGAGCTTACCTGACTGGAAAACCTCAGCAAAAAATTTGGTTACATCAGGACCCACCACATCCCAATAATGCTAAAAGAATCCAGGACTCAAACCATCAAGTCCCACAGATTTATCCGATAACATATAAAAACAGTTGTCTTTACCTCGTCACCCCTGATAGGTCTCAAGAGATTAATGTTATGGCAAGCCTCCAACTTCCTAGTCACGCATCGAAACACAAAGTCACTTGTATTATGCATTGAAGAAAAAATATTAGCAAAATTATCACCAATTAGACGACCAACTTCCGCCCTTTCTATCTCCCAACCGCCACCCTCCAATCAAAAATCTTCAACCCTATTTGTCCTCTCCCGTTGTTTCATGGAATTATGAAAAAACAGGGTATTCAAGTCACCTCCTTTCAGCCAAAACTCCTTCACCCTTTGCCTCCAAAATAAGTTCTCCTGCTCTAGAAGGTCAAGATATTCCCGCTTGACCTTCTCAAAGACACTCACGTGCCAATCATCCGAAAATTTACGGAGATACTCTAATTGCTTTCGGCAAAACTGAATTTGTTTGCCCAAAGAACCAGCTGCAGTATGACCCCAATCCCCTACAGATTTGCAACAGGTAGCAATTTGCCCCATAATGCCGAAACTAGCTCCCAAACTCCAACTGCTGGCTACAATAGAAAGGCAGTCATCATATCTAAGCCAAAAATTCTCAAACTTAAACCTGATGCGCCAATGGAAAACTAGGGAAGGGATCAGCTTGACAAGCAAAACCAAACGATCACTTGGTGCCCCCTCTAAAGATCTCGCTTCAGCTCCGCCAAAAATATCCAACCAATCTTTTGAAACAAGAATTCTATCTAACTTTTCGTCCACCCAATTCGGGGACCCCCGCCACCTTTCCCAAGTATATTGGTAGCCTTGGAAAGGAAAATTTTGCAATCCGCATGCTTGAACAGTTTCATGGAAACCTCTTAGAAGCCAAGGCGGGTGAAGAACTCGCCCCCGTTTCTTCGATGCCACCATGAGATCATTAAAGTCACCCATCACTAACCAAGGAAGATGAGGCTTCGTGTTTAGAGATTTCAAACGATCCCAAGATTCTCTTCTCCTGCTCCGTTCAGGACAACCATAAAAGCATGTGAAGTGTCAGACAGGACCATCCGTCTCCAACTGAATACTTGCATCAATATGGTGTGGTGAGGAGTCACAGATTTGAACATGAACACCATCTCTCCAAAGCAAAACCAAACCTCCCTTATGCCCCACACTGTCCACCACAAAGCAGAAACTCAAATCAACTTTCCTCAACAATATCTCTACTCTTGATTTATTAGAAAAAGTCCCCATTAAAAAAACTATAGTCGGCTTCTTCAAGTGAACCAAGTTCACCAATAAATGCATGAACTGTCGCCGGATTGCCGAGCACGCGACAGATCCAACTTAAGCAACTCATGGCTCTCGGCGGGCCTGGCACCCAAGTCCCGCCGCTTCCCCGTTTTTTGACTCCGTATAATCCATGTTTGAAGCATCCGAGGTACTAGTTTCGAACCCTGAATCCCCCATTTTCCTTTTCTTCAATAATCCACGAGGAACATTTGAAATATCTACTACATCTTTTGTCCCCAACAAATTGCCGCCTCTCTAGCTTCCCCTCTTGTGCCACATAATACACTGCCAGGCAAAGCTCCGTCCAATGGCTTACCAGTGCCATAAAAAAGCCACCTGCTACCACTGCTCGTTCCTCCTCTACGACTGCTAGCCCGCAACCAGTTGCCAAACTGTCTTTGGTGTTCCCCTCCACTACTGTCAAAACGCCTCTGGCAAAGTCTATCTGTGTGACTCATAAGACCACATATGAAGCAAAAGTATGGCAGCCGCTCATACTTCACCTCCACCTCCACAGATCCGCCTCTTGTTTTAGGGTCAACTAGCCTCTCAGTGATTTGTCAACCCTTAATTTGACCCGGATACGCATGAAGCTTTCCAGTCTCCATGAAACTACCCGGATCATCGTGCTCAAAGATCCCCAAACGACTACCAATTATTTGGGTTGTCTTCTCCGTGAAATACCGCATTGGAAGCTTATAGACCTGCACCCAAAGCGTTTCATATTCGAGTGGGACGTTGGTAGGATCTTCAACACGGTCCAGTCTGTGCAAAATCAGCAAGTTATTCTCATACGACCAAGGGCCGTCAGAAACTACTCTAAGAACATCCGCCTCCTGGAAGAACTGAAAGAGAAATCTTCTGTCCCCAATCTCTCGGATATGCACCCCTTGCCAGGTCTCCAGACATCTTCAATAACCTCCCTAATAATATTAAACTTGATCAATTTCTCCGTCACAATACGCCCAACAATACACAGTCTTGAAGATGTCGAAACATCCTGGAGGACGGAATCATCAACTTCCACTTCATCGTGGAAGACTGGTCTTCCATCTCAGACGTCATGCAGTCCGAATTTGGAGAGAAACGACGTAAACGAATGTGCGAGAATGATCGAAGATAAGAAAAACGATGTAAACCTAGATACCTAGGGAAGAAGACTTTTCAATGAATTACACATATATAGCAATCATATCGTTAAAACCCCTGCACATTAGTTATTTCTTACCAATGTTACCTTTAGAACTTTAGGATGCTATACTGATCAGCAATCCACGAGTGAAGATAATCATAATTTTGGTATGATAAGAGCATCTCCAATAGCAACGTGAATTGCACTCTATAAAAATGGAAATGTGTCGTAAATGAACAGTCTATTAAGCTGTGTGGATACATGGCCAATTACAACCAAATTTCATCTCCAATGGAGTGTTCTCATATTCTGTAAACAAAAATATTTACTTTAATGACTATACATACCCAAAGCCTATACATAGACAACATATTTAACCTGCCACTGCCGCCTAGAAATGATGTGCCACTGTATCACAACTCACAGGGGGCTGCCATCAAACTCCTTGACCAACTCAAGAAAAAGTAGATCACAGGCTGTTTTCATTCAAATATGACCCAAACGCACGAAAAGCTAAAACGATTTTGAAACTCCAGATCAACACAAAAGCATAAATCAAGACATGAATCCGTATACACTTAACCGCTAAACGCATACAAAGTTCTTCCTTGTCTCTTGAGAGCAGACCATATCGAGGAAGATCTTCAATATACCTCTGCCCTTTTCACAAACCAGGTCGTTTTCTGTTACGTTGCCGGAAAATAAAATGAGTGAGAGAAAATTGCTAGAGAAGAAGATCGCTGGAGAATAAAGCCATAAAGGGGTTGCTCGAGCCCTGCTGCCTAAAGAAGTGCCGCCGTAACACAATGGGTTGTCAGACGGTGCGAGATGATTGTCCCGTTTGATTACAATTGCAACTGGGTGTTGTGTTGCCACAAGGACCAAAGGGCCGGAGTGCGCACTTTTGGATGGCTACTGAAACGCTGGGCATTATTATACAGAGTAAATGTTTCCGGCAAAAAATTATTGTAAAATAAATGTTATGCTGAGTTGGCTGTGAGACAGCCTTGCTAGAACTAGAAGGGGAGGTAGACGGTGTGTTGGTTTTTCCACTCCAGCTCAGCACCACAGTTGGGATACATATTTCCATTGGAGAAGGCAATTTTACCAAAATATGACGTGGCAATGCATTTATAACCAATACATGTTGCCATTAAAGATGAACTAATATATTGATGATTGGTGTTCAGACACCATATTGTATATATGCATGTATATTTCAAAAGCTCTCAACATTGAAAAGTTATTATTTCAACAAACGTAACACTGATGAGAGAGGGGGAAACTGATCATCATGTCATTCCATGAGAAATGTAGAGAAACTTTCAGACAACAAAGACTATTTACACACTAGTGACACAAAGCTAAACTATTGAGTAAGAAATTCACATATATACATCATATTCATTCTTGATTCATCTTTGCAAAAAGAAAGAAGCAGCAACCAGACCTGCCCATAATGTCAGTGCCACCCAAACCGTCTGCCTTTTCTTCAAACCAACCGGCAGCTTCCTCACTAAAAAGTCCCCTAACCAATCATTGGATGATAGTAGTTGATTGGTGGTACAGCTCTGTATCTGGGGTTTGTCCTTGTAATTATCACTCCATATTGCTGCATAACTGTTGAATGAACTATTAAGGGTCCTTTTGAACGCAGACAATACTAGGAAAAATAATTGAGAAAATTAGATGGTTAAACTGGAATGATAGAAAATTTGAACGAAAATCGACGAGACGCTCAAAGCTCGACATATTTACTTACGATGTTTGTTCAAGCACATATTAACTACAGAGTATTTATTTCAACTGGATAAATGCTGAAATCTATATGTGATTTGAGGAGAAAAAATTGCAAGGTAAAACACTAAATCCAAACATTAGAGAATAACTTTCCCGATCAAAAAATTGCAAGGTAAAACACTAAATCCAAACATTAGAGAATAACCTAAGCATTTTCCAGGATCCAACCCTAATCACACCCTAAGTGATCTGTAATCAAAGTGGCTCTTCCGAGTTCCGATCACACAAATGATAGCAACAATAAATCCAAACGAATGATGTAGAGGATTAATCATCACACACTATAACTTTAACACCACGAATCCATGATAATAAGACTATAAGAGTACTCACTGTAGTAATTAATAACACTATAACAGCATCATAATAAGCGTACTTTGAAAATGAAAATGCCTATGTCCAATTTCTGAAGAAAAAAGAATAGCATTAAACATTAGTTAAATAAAACTAGATTTGTGAAAGTAAGGAAGGCTCAACATCTCACACAAACATAGTAATAGAAAGTTGATTTGGACATTGACGACCTGTCGAGTAACACATACAGCCATACATGATACAGTTTCTAAGAGAGTTGCACCAAGGCAAACCGCAGATTAACAGCTAGAATATGATGCAAATTTGTGCCTCATCTAATTAAACTGCTGGTAACACTACTCAAGCTATTTTGTACTGCAACTATGAATTTTGTAGTTGACGACTAATTATTTTTTGTGGCCATGAAATTCCTCTTCATTCAAAAGCATTGTTGTAATTTAGGTTAATACTAACCTATAAAAGTCACCCGCAATGTTATCTTAGCTAAAATAAATATCACAATGTATCCAAGCGAAGTTACCTATCATAGCTAGAACCAATTAATGGTATGGTGACCATCTCTTCTTGGGTTATCTTGAGCTTAGGTGCCTGCAATATGTAACGAAGATCTGAAGCTTGGCGTCGGATGCTGACACTAGGATGATTCCTTTCCAATTGCTTATACAAAGTAATGCAGTCTATATGACGGTTATTTGCTTCATAAGCCATAGCAAGCCATATTTGTATCTGGAAAGTTGCAACACATACACTGTGATCATATTACTGCTGCAAACAATGTGTATTCTAATTCCAAAGAAACAATACTTTGTAAGTATCTTCTGAATTACCTCTCCGCCAAATAAGGTAGGTCTTGGAATTATCGTCAGGGCTCCTTCAAGAAACTCAACCGCACGTCCATAACTACCTTTCCCATAAGCCTTTTGACCCAGATCAAACATTAAACGGGCAGTTTTTCTTCTCTCAGCTTGCTCCTTTGCCACCTGGATTTCAGATCCAAAAAGAAACACCATTTGTTTGTATAGTAGCAAGAATTACTCAAACAGAAGACAAATCAGCTGTATACAGTTCAACACTTTCACTCACGTTAGCGTTCCATAGGAGGACGGCTAATGTACCAAATAGCGCACAATGAGCCACGATCTAAAGTTCTTTGAGGGGTGTATTTAATAAGGTAACTTTATTAGTTCGCTGAAAAATACTAGATACTTATTTAGTTATTTAGTTTGATTAACAAATTATGTGTTGAAATCCTGAAAATGCTACAGGCTTATATGGGTAGATGGTGGGAAAAGTACAAAGAAGCTAATGTGGTTGCACACATTTTCAAATAGAATTTGTGCTCTACGTGTTGCAAACCGGAGTCTGTGTTTGTGTTGCATTAGAAGACAGGAGGAGTCTATCTCCCTAACGGCATTAAATGTTTAACATAGCTATCTTTTGACATTTGGATCACATGTATACTCCCAGCCCTTCAATGTGGAATACTTCATCGTCTATGAGAGCTAAAACCAGAAGTCCACCCAGATTCTAGCCAAATACACAACAACAGCAGTGCAAGTGGAATGTGGGTAGCAGTGCAGAAGGTGGAAGCGGTGGGATGCAGACAGCTATGCAGCTGCAATGGCAAATGGCTCAGCTGCTACAGAGAGCATCGTCTCTCTTTAGCTTTTAACTTTCTATGTTTATTTCTTTTTATCTAAATTAGAAAACAAACAGGTCGGGTTGTCAGCTCAAAATCAATTTGGCAAAAAACAACATTTTTGGGCATTGGCAATTGGCATGAAAGTGTAATCGGTGCAGCGACATCTAAACAACGACATTCAACAGCTTGTGCTTTTTAGGCCATGTGACCTGCCCTAGCAAGTGTGCTCCACCTCCAGGATGCCTAAGCGGCGCCTAATTGTCAATCAACATAAAGGTCCCTCAATTTTGATAGTACCAAATTTTGCTTCAACCATCATATTGAAAGGCGCAGCGTTCAATGCAAAAACTTGTGTTTGAGCCAAGGTGGAGTGGCCGTCTATGCAGATCTTGGTGGTACAAAATTTAAATGAGATTTTTGAAGATCATCAGTAAGGTAAAACTATGTTACAGACTCCATGCAGTCGAACAAGGAGGACAAATATTATGGAAGAGTCTATTCTAGAAGAAGGAGATAGAGAGGTAGTTATTAGTTATTTCTTGTTATTAACTAATAACTGTAAGTGGTTGTTCGCTTACTATAAATAGAATAGACTGGGGAAATTCCCAGGTAGGCTGTTAGACTGTTAAGTCAGAACTGGGAAGATAGAGTTCTAGCTCTATTCTTTGGGGGCTTCGGCCATTGTAGTTCCGAACCTTATCAATAAAGCTGTGAAGTTCTTTTGATCTTAATTATGTGTTTCTAGTGTGTATTCTGGTGACTCTTACAGTGGTATCAGAGCACGATGATCTCTGGATGAGACATACTCGTGCTAAGATGGACGGAAGAATGACAGAAGTGGAGAGAAACTTGACTGATATGGCCAGAAACCAGAGAGAATCAGCGGCGAGGCAAGATACATTGGAGACGATGATGGTCACTATGCAGGCGAGTCTCGCTGATATTCAGAATCGACTTCCCGGTCATGCGCGAAGTAGATCGCAGGCATCTTCAGCCTCGCATCGGACTTCTCATCATCAACGTTCTCGAAATTCAGCACATGATGATGAATCGGAGGGACTGTCTGATCATTCTCCACACCGCAATCATCGTCATCACAGGGATCACAACACACATCACCGGACTGGAAGGAAGATCGATTTACCGTTATTCAATGGAGATGTTGCTTACGGATGGCTGGTTCGCATCGATCGATATTTCCGTCTTAATCAGATTGAAGATGAGGAAAAGGTAAATGTCGCAGTTGTGGCTATGGAGGATCGCGCACTGAGTTGGTTTCAGTGGTGGGAGAACCAGACGAGGGAAAGGAATTGGGACACTATGAAGGAAGCGTTGACTCGAAGATTCCAGCCAGAGCTGGTACACAATCCTTTCGGACCTCTGTTAGGTCTGAAGCAAAAGGGAACTGTGAAGGAGTTTCGTGAGCAATTTGAGATGGCGATTGCATCACGGGGTGATTTGAGCAGGAAGGTGACCAGAGGTATTTTTTGAATGGCTTGAAGAAGGACATTAGAGCTGAATTGAAACTTTACAAAACCAGAGATTTGGCAGAGCTTATGGACACAGCCCTATTGATTGAGAATAAGAATATGGAGGTGACGTCAAGAAGAAATAAGGAAGAAGGGAAGAAGTATTGGAAGAGCAGTAATTCTGGCAAACCAAGTTACACTCATTGGGGAGATGGCAGTAGAAAGGGGTATCATCAGACCACCACAAAAATACCTGGGAAGGATTCTACTGAGACAAAGAAGCAAGAAGAAGGGATTAATTCGGTATCTAGGAAATTAGGCCCTAGATTGACACAGAATGAGCTGTTGGAAAGGAGTAAGAAGGGACTGTGCTTCAAATGTGGAGATAGATGGAGCAGGGGCCATGTTTGCAGTATGAAAAGCTTTAAAATGATGTTGGTTAAACAATCTGAGGGGGAAGAAGAATCTGACATGACTTCTAGTGAAGAAGGAGAGGGTGAAGAAACACAAATGAAAGCTAGAACACTGAAATTATCTGTCCTGAGTCAGGAAGGGATCTCATCCATGAAAACTTTCAAGGTTTTGGGAAACATCAGATGGGGAAATCATCAGCAGCAAGTGAATATTCTGATTGATTGTGGGGCCACTCACAATTTCATCTCTCAAAGATTGGTGAACACATGGCAGATACCATATAGATGTATTAAAGGCTACAAGGTGCAGATAGGGAATGGGGAATTTCTTCCCAACAATGGCAGATGTGAGGAGATTGCTTTGGAGATACAAGGGAACCACATTTTACAGAAATTCTATATTCTAGATTTGGGGGAGTGGATATGGTGGTGTTAGGGATGGAATGGTTAACAGAACTTGGAGATATGGAAGTTAACTTCCAGAATCAAATCCTTAAGTGGAGAAGACAGAACCAGCTTTATACTATCAAGGGAGATGGCACTGAATCAGATGGAAGTTTCCTTGAAATCCATCACTCACATTTTGCAGAGCACAGGGGATGGTTATCTGTTGTTTTGTGAAGGTAAAGAGCAAGATCATCAGTACAGTATGGAAGTGGAGGACACATGGAACAAGATAGTTGGGGAATTTCCAGAAGTTTTCAAATCAGTGTTGGATGTTCCTCCTGAAAGGTCATGTGATCATGCTATAAACATCATTGAGGGAGCAAGTATACCTAACCTGAGGCCTTATAGGTATACTTATGATCAGAAAAATGAAATTGAAAAGATTATACAAGAAATGCTTTCTTCTGGAATTATCAAACATAGTACCAGTCCTTACAGCAGTCTCATTCTATTAGCCAAGAAAAAAGATGGTGGTTGGAGATTTTGTGGTGATTACAGAGCTTTAAACAAGGTGACAATTCCAGATAAGTTTCCTATACCAGTTATAGAAGAACGTTTAGATGAGTTAGGAGGATCTAAAGTGTTCTCTAAACTGGATTTGAAATCCGGTTATCACCAAATAAGAATGAAGAAAGCTGATGCCCATAAAACTGCCTTTAGAACACATGAGGGACATTATGAGTATGTTGTAATGCCTTTTGGGCTAACAAATGCTCCCTCAACTTTTCAAGCATTTATGAATGAAGTTCTTAGACCCTTCCTAAGAAAGTTTGCTCTAGTTTTCTTTGATGACATTTTGGTTTATAGCAAATCAAAAGAGGATCATGTAGAGCATCTTAGAAAAGTTTTGACAGCCTTACAAGATAATAAATTGGTAGCAAATTGGAAGAAATGTTCATTTGGGCAGAATCAGTTATCTTACTTGGGTCACATCATTTCTGAATAAGGAGTATCTGCTGATCCTAGTAAGGTAGAGGCTATGGTAAGCTGGACAGAGCCTAAGGATGTAAAAGGGTTGAGAGGCTTTTTGGGCTTGAGTGGGTACTATAGAAGGTTTGTAAGGGGGTATAGCAGAATTGCAGCTCCTTTAACCAACCTGTTGAAGAAGAATAACTACAAATGGGACATTAAGGCTAGCAGGGCTTTCAATCAGCTAAAGGAAGCAATGACGACATTACCTGTTCTTGCCACTCCATATTTTACTAAGAAGTTCATCATTGAAACTGATGCTTCAGGGAAAGGGCTAGGGGCTGTACTCATGCAAGAGGGAAGGCCCATTGCCTTCATGAGTAAGGAACTTTCTCCTAAGCATCACAGTAAATCTGTGTATGAAAAAGAACTCATGGTTGTGGTTCTGGCTGTACAAAAATGGAGACCCTACCTTCTGGGAAGAACATTTGAAGTGCATTCAGATCAGAGAAGCTTAAGGTACTTGACTGAGCAGAAGATTATGGGGCCTGAGCAACAGAAATGGATCACGAATCTACTGGGGTACAATTTTTCCATCAAATACAAACCTGGTGCTGAAAATAAAGCAGTTGATGCTCTATCTAGAAAGCCTGCTTTTCTATCCTTATCTGTAGTATCCTGTAAGGAATGGACTGGTTTGGAAGAACTACTGGAGGATTTAAGATGTAAGGACATTCTGCAGAAACGTACATCGCAGCCAGATTTGATGAAGGATTGTCAGATCAAGGGAGGGATCCTATTTTATAAAGGGATACTGGTTTTGCCTAAGGGATCTAACAGAATACCCAGAATCCTCAAGGAATACCATGAAACTGATTTTGGAGGACACTCAGGGTATTTTAGAACCATGAAAAGGATCTCCAGTCTATTCTATTGGGCTGGTATGAGAAATGACATCAAAGACTATGTGCAAGGATCTCCAGTCTATTCTATTGGGCTGGTATGAGTCTTTCTTCTAGAATAGACTCTTCCATAATATTTGTCCTCCTTGTTCGGCTGCATGGAGTCTCTAACAAACTATAGGCATCATAGCCTATAGTTTTACCTTACTGATGATCTACAGTAAGCAACTTAAGAATAGCAACCAATAAGCAACTCATCTAAGCCATAAGAATAAGTAAAGTCAATGGCTAATATTTTTAGCTATTAGATTTTTTGTTTATGTTTTAGTCCTATTTTGATAAATTTCTTTAATAATAATCAATAGATTCTACCATGTTCACCCGAACAAAAGGAAAATCAAAAATTCAGGAGAAAAAAGAATGAAGGCCTCACCTTTTCGAGCTCTCTCTTCACTCTTGCGCGTTTCTCTTCCTCCGATTCTTGATTGTTCTCATTTTCCTCGGGGTATTCTTCATCAAAACGGTTCTGCAACTCCTCAACTTTTTTCACCAGCTCCTCCATCTCTTCAAACTCCTCTACTCTCCTCTTTATCTCCTTCTCCCAATTGTCCTTCTCATCTTCGTCTTCCTCCTCTAGGAACCCATTTCCTTTGCCGTTCCCGTCGTAGTTCGAGTTCTCGTAGTTGTCCTTATTCACCTTGGCGTTGACCTTTCCTCGCAAGCCTGCTTTCAGATTCCGACTGTCTTTGTCATGTTGGAAGCTAGTTGCCGCCGGGGAAGCGCACCAGTGTGCAATTTCTCTCTTCGCAAAGAGGTGGAGCGCGATGTCGATTGGCGGTGTCCGGAAGTTGCGGTCCGGTGGCGATATTGCACATGGTAGATTAACGTGGCTTCCGTCTAGCAGTACGGTTAAGTTAGCCAGCATCGCGGCCATAATTGCGTACCTTTCTGTGGAATACACAGGAAGCGGGTTAAATCTCATTCAGTTGGCAATTTTTGTTTTGGACCTTTTCAGGTCGACCAAATTTAAACATACCAGATCAGAACGGATTTAATTAAATATATCACACCAGATAAAATCAGATTTACATAGTTATAAAATATACAGAGATATAAGGCATTTATGAGGCTAGATCAGACCAGATCAAACCAAACCACAATCAAAATAAATCGAGCCGCAACCAAATGAAACCGAACCCCTAAAAACCTGAAATTGAATGTAAAAAATTGAATCGTAGTTGTTTGGTTCGGTTTTGGTTTTTACCCTTCAAAATCGAACCAAACTGAATAAACCAAACTAATTAAAATATGAAATTTTATTTGTTAATTGTTAAGCATTAATCCTAATTAATCCTACTACCATAGATATTCTTTGATCTTCTTGTGTTAGAAAATTATTTTTTGTTTTATGTTTAGTTTAGTTTATAAATGTATTTACACATTCATTACCTATAATAATATAGCTACATTGATCTATTATGTCTTTTGTGTGTGTGTGTGTGCATGTATTGCATGATGATGATATGTTTTTGCTGGGTTGTTACCCGTAAGCACGAACGGATCCATGATTTCGGGTCAAGTGGGTGAATTTTTTCCGTTAGTGTAAGGGAACAAAAAAATCATTAATACATACACAATGACATTTAAATATACTACATTCTAAGTTTAGAGGATGAAAAAATAACTTTGATTTTATAATTGAAGTGCTTTAGAATAAAATATTGATACATTAAAGTGTAAGAAATAACAAATCAAAGGAAAATTATTTATAAATAAGAAGCATATATAACATGTTATCAAATTATTTGAGACGAATAGTTTAAAAGATGCACATCCACGATCCACCAATGATTTTTAAATAACTTACTAGTAGAACACCCGTGCGATGCACGGTTGGTGAAATTTTATCTGTCAAATTTTAGTCAAATTAGAAATAAATATCGAATTTGTAATTTCAATTGAATAGTTTAGAATTATATAATAATATAATTTGACATAAAATGAAATATACTCCGTCCGTCTCATAGAAAGGTTCTCAGTTCCTGTTTAGGACGCCCCGCATAAAGGTTCTCATTTTCATTTTACAAAACAATTAACCATCTTAAATGACATATTAATAACTAAATATTGAAAATAATATATTTATAATATCATAGTTATAAACACTGATGATCTCATTATAATATATACTCATTAAAATTATTTCTCGGTATAAACTCGAACTATCTTATTCAATTATTATTTTCATAATCGTGTCATTTTGTCATATGAAACTTTCAACGGGATAGTGGTAGTACTTAATACATTTTTCCAATGATTGCGGAGTGGTACATAATTTTTATAGCCCCACAAAATAGTAAGTAACACGAAATATAAAATAATTTGAAAACCGTTTGGTTATTGGGTTTTTAGCCAGATCCTAATCTTTTAATAAATACAACGTTCCAAAAAGCAGTGTGTTGAGGATGAAACGCTGAATCCAAACTACCCCATTATATTCCATTCAAAAACATTATGAAACACTTCTTTATACACAAATTCTTGATATCACTGTTTGTTCTTCTGTCATCATTTGCAATATATATTTTGTATGCTCAGTTGTTACTTTAAACACAATTGCATAAAATTAATCATGTTTGGGTATTATGGCTTCCAAATTTTTTATGATAAGCTAACATATGAAATTGTTAATGAATGTTTGAGAATTGGCCATGACACTTTCTATCTCACACTAACCTCTTTTAAAATTCTTTCTTCTAGTAGTAATTTACCCGCACGATACACAAATGATTTTGCGAAAGAATTTTCCCTTTTCAAAAGTAATTTTATTGAAGGTAAATTATTTTAGTAAATAAGTAATAAGGTTATACGAATTGCATTGTTTTAACGATTTGCCTTGGTAAACAGGCAAATCAAAGGGTGCAAATATGTGGAAATGTGTAAGTTCAGTGCTGTTAGAAAGTCTGAGGCGCAATAAAATGCATCCCTCACCACTCGGCTCCTCATCAGTCCATTCCAAAGGAGCACCAAACCCTCATTAATGTGGCTCACTAAGACATTCTCTCCAACCCATTACAAAGAAAACCAAAATTCTCTAACTTAAAGCTGACGAAAGCAAGTCACGCAGCGAGATTTCTCTACTCATTGTCCGCCAATGGTCCGCCACAACCTGGAACCTCCAACGACGAAGACATCGAGCGGGTGAGTTATTTAAGATGACTATTTTAGCTACTCCCTCTATCGCCATAACTTTGTCCCGTTTTGCTTTTTTCGTCCGTTCCATTAAATTTGTCACATACTACCTCCGTCCCTTAAAACTTTGCCAAAGTTGACCGACACGGAGAATAATAAAGTAAAAACTGTGTGGTTGAGGTTTGTGCAGAGGAGAGAGAAATAACAGAAACCACAAAATAATTGATTAAAAGGAAAAATGGCAAAAAATTTTGGGACGTCCCAAAAAGGAAAGATGACAAAATTTTAAGGGACGGAGGGAGTCTCATATTTGGTAATACTTGAGTGGCTAGAATTGATTCTTACTTTATTCACACTTTATAAATTCAATATCTACCACACAATTCTACTTTTTATTAAAAATCACACTACACCCCTTAGTCCCAAACTTAGGGGGACACAATTCTACTTTTTATTAAAAATCACACTACACCCCTTAGTCCCAAACTTAGGGGGACGGAGGTAGTAATATAATTTTCTATTATTTAGCAGACTCAGCTCATACAACAATTCCAATTTTAATCATGCTTTATAAATATCAGTAGAATAAGAGCCCGTTTGGTGACACTTTTATCGCCTTATCAGACTTATCACCCAATTTTCTCACCGAATACGAATTTTTTGCTTTCACACGCTGAATTTGGTAACACCATGATCATATATATAGTAAAATAATGATTATATATATGACTTCTGTTAAATATGCCGTATATAAATAGTTGGGTTTTTTATTAACATATTTCACTAATACGTATTACTATGGGTATTTAGGTGAACTTTGATATTATTTAAAGTTGATTACCTTAACTATAATTATAAGGGGTTTTAAGAAATATTACTAAAATAAAATTTATTTACAAAAATATGACTAATAATGAATACTCCGTACAATGTAGTGTGGTAACTTAAGTTTAAAAATTGAACATAAGTTACTATGATTACATTATTACTCTGGTTATTAGTCATATTTTTGTAAATAATGTTTATTTTATTTATAAATATGTAATAGCTTTTTCTAACTATAAATCATTATGGAATAGTTTTTATTTAAACCAAATATAGTTAACCCATTTGTGAGTGGCCGATATTTCCTAACAAAAATCTAAGCCCCTTCCATTTAAACGGATTGAGAATAAAGTAGCCCATTATTTATGACTATGCCCATAAAATACATCATGTATAATTAAAACATAGAAGTCCTTTCCAGAAGGAAAACCCCTTGACTTCTTCCCAGCAAACCAATCGGTAACATGTCTGCCTCCTCAACAAACTACACAAATATTTCACCCAAAACACATCTTCAAACGCCCGTCGTTCAAAAGGCAGCCAAGCATATTCAGCCCTTTCCCTACTGATTCTTCGCCAACATATTCAGCCGCCAGTCATGAATCCATCGTGTTCGCCTCCACTGCTCTAAAAACGGTAATAACACAATCTCTCTACTACACACAACCCACAGATCTAGCAGATCTGTGTATATGAATCGGAAATTAATCCGAAATATAAAGGTTCATTACATGTTCATTCTTTGTTGGTCTTTATGTATTTATATGAATTGGAAATTAATCCTGCCATAATACTATAAGTTTTTTTTTAATTATATTTGATTATACATGTTATGATCTCATATACGTAAGAGCATAATGTTTCACAAAATATTATCCAAAAGTTTAATAAGACACAATCACTCTAAAGTGAGTGAACCATCCTCTAGAATATTATATTTATAGCCAATTTTTATCTCTTAACCCATGTTGCCAACTAAGAGAGTAAATGGACTTGGCATGTAGGTTGAGAACACTTGCGCCAGCCGAAGTGACTAATCAAGAAGTATGTGGTCCCAACTTGCTAGCATGAGCAACAATTTTGCTATGTGTACACTCCGGGTTAGACGGCAGTGTACACTAAATAAAAATCCCCACCCCCTCTTTCTAACCCACCCCACTTTCGAATTAATCCACTCCACTCCTCTTCCACGTGCCATTTTTTTCTAAAAAAGCCGCCTATTCCACTCTCCCCCATGCGGCTCTCTTTCCCGACTCCCCACAAACTAGAGACACCCAACAACCCTCCCTCTTCGTTTCTCTTCCTCAATCGAAGCCACACAGCCCTTCCCTTCGGCGTCGTTCTCAGCTCACAACAACCCCACCCAACAACTTTCCCTCCCCGTTTCTCTTCCTCAATCGTTCTCCGTTCTCCAATAAACTGAAGGAAACCCAATAACCCTCATCATTCTCCATTCGCTCCGGTCGCAAGTCACGAACTCTTCGTCCGGCCGTCGTCTGCTTCACTCCACTACAATGGTGCGCACTTCATTGACTCAACTGGCAGAAAGGTAAATATCTGCAAAACAAACTTCATAATGAACTCTTAATACTTTGTAGTTTTTAATTTTTTTTGTTTGTGATGTACATGAGATGTCTGTGCTTCATTACTTTTTTCCATGATTAATACATGGGTTGTATTGGTTCCCTGTTTTGTGCTTTTAAAGATGTCTGTATATTGTGTTCTTATTTGTGGAGTTCATTTTAGACTTGTCTTATGGTGGACCTGAGATGTGTTTTGGGTTAAGGTGTCTGTGTGGCTGTTGTTGAGATGTCTGTATGGTTTGTTTGTATATTTTTTTGAAGTCTAGACCTGTCTGTATGACTTTTGTTGAGATGTCTTTTGTTGAGATGTATGTACAGTGTGCAGGTGTATGTCTATATGATAAAAAT